AAAAAAAGAGGTTGATCATGTTATCAAATAAATAAAAATCTTGCATGATAAGCCAGATAGACATGACCAACACGAAAACTCTGGTTTTATTGAGAAAAGTGTGGGACAGATGGAGAAACAGTGATCTTTTTCTAATCCTGGAATTTTAGTATTTATTCATGTCCAACTTTTCATCTTTTTTTTCATTCAGAAAAATCTTTTTTAAAAAGATTATGAGAAATCTAAAGACCAACCTGGATGACTAGAATTTCATCTCGGATTCGTTGCCCAACATCTCCTTCACCACCTCGACCAACAGTAGACATTATCATCCGTAACAGTTCTCTGTACTCTGGATAACTTGCATAAACTTCCTGTAGGATGTCAGTCAGCCTATCCTGCGCTTTGCTTATCTCCCTGCAATAAAGTAGTGAAGTTGTGTAATCTACTGCAGGTCGCTGTAAATGAAGGTATGTTTTGAAGATGTCAGAACAAATTAGAAGGCTTCCATAAACTATGCCAATTTTTTTCCCTAGGGCTGAACAAGAAACGAAAGAATCTAAAATTCCATTATTATCACATTCTTTGAACTGTACCTTGGCTTAACATTATAGTTTTTGTTCCACACAAGCTGTCTTGTAGCCATAAACCTCATCCAGACTAGGATCCCTGCAAAGCCTAGTTGACCAGCATTTTTTGCCTCGTCCACAAGATCTGCTGCAATGTTGAATCTACAAAGACAACAAGCAAGAATGACCCCGTCATTAAAGTCAAAATGTTTTCCTGAAGTTGCAAATCACTTCATGCACAAAAGAGATTTATGACAGAATATAAATTGAGTGATCGTGGAACATGTATCACTAGTAAGCAGAAAATATTTTAACAAAAGGAATGCCAGTTAAGCCTCTTCAAGTCTAAAACACGAGAATAAGAACCAGAATGCTTGACCATAAAACTCACCGATGCATGAAAGACTTCTGGGCCTCACTCTCCAGATTTGTGATTTTGTCCAGTAAATTCTTGGCTGTACCTTTTCCATCACCATAATCCTTTTAAATGGAACAACTAAAATTAAGTATCTTGGAGACAATAGACCCAACTAAAAGTGCTTTTCAGAAGACCAAGAAGGAAGAGGAACCTTCTGAACATGTTTTTCTTCTTTAGCGAAGTCCACATAAAAGTCACTACCACTATTTTTGATCCACCTTTCACCAGCCTTGAGTACAAATGGCATGCCCTTGTAACTTTCGCCTTCTATTTCCACCTCAAAAATTTGCACCTACATTTTTGGTTAATACGAGGTTTTCACATATCATCCCTGGGTCCAACTACTATTAGGCGTATAGGATTAAATAGATTTCACTAGTCATACCGGACTAGGAAGATCTGCTGAAGCAACGGTGAGTTGTGTATCAACAGCACCACGTACTGGCAAAGAGTTTGGTGGCAGTATATCTGAAGGTGGGTCCTGCAGAGTCAAAAAGAGACCAAACCAGAAATGTGATTAAAAGTATGCTCTTGTGTGATTGAGAAATAAGAAACAAAACAAAAAAATATCTTACCAACCACTCTCCACCCTTTTGAGACAAAGCCCAGTGAAGGGTAATAGGCTCTTTGTAATCAGTTGCCAAATGAATTTTGGTCTTTCCGGAAAGTTTAGTGACAAGAACCTAAATAGAGAGAAAAATGACTTGCCATTAGCAGATGATTTTTCTGACTTGCCATTAGCAAATGATTGTTAGAAAACCCGAACAAAAATAGAAAGAGAGAGCAAGATAGATACTCTCAACTAACCAAGATCGTGCTGCCTTCAAGCTTAAACGTTTTCTTGCTAAAGATTGGAGTAGTTTCTTGTTCCTCCTTTGCTTTGGCGTACATCTCGAGAGTTGTTAAGGCCCGTGGTTCACTTGAGGATTTTGATTCAACAAAATCAGAAACGTGCTTACATATAAGCTTATTCAGGTCCCTTCCCTTGCGCTGGATCTTCTCAGTGCTGAAATTTTTTTTCTGCTTCGGTTGCTTGGAAACTTTTTTCTCTGAATCCTGTCCACTGGATGAAGTCTCCGTAGATTTTGGAGAGTCACTAGTGTCATCTATCTTCAGCAGTTTTCTTCTAAGATCTTCAACTGAAGCACCTCTCATCATTTCCTCCCTTAGCTCCGTACGAGCGGCTTCATACTCCTCCTATTGACAATAGACTAATTACTCGCTTAACTATAAAATAATGGATACGGTTGTATATGTACAAAGTCATACCTTCTCTTTCTCCGGGGAGTAATTTTGTTTACCATTACGTTCCCATCTAATATATGCTTGGACCTGTACAAGATCTTCAGGAACAGAAACATTGTGTTCCACATTCTTTCCCATGGGTAAGTTTATATGAAAATTTTGACCGTTGTTTTTGTACCTGCATATGTTAAGACTTTAGATCATGAGAAAGGACAATAACTTGACAATAGGTAGCTCTATGTTCTAGTTTATATAGCAAGAAGAAGAGAAAACAAACTCACCATTTGTTCCGACTTTCGTCAAATATAAGAAACTCAATAGCTTGTATGGCGTGATCATCTATCTCTAGTTTAAGGTAAGAATTGCCACCTGACTGTGAGTGAGCATCAAAAGCACCATTTGAAATTTTTTAAGTTACACAAGTAGAGGGGTAATATTTTTTGTTGAGAATGAATTTTAAAACTCACTTTCACAAATGGAGTTCTAAGCGCTCTGTTCTTGTAGTTGATAGTTCTATCCGGAGAGCGAGAAGGTAGAACCCATTTTCTGAAACGGAAAATAAGAAAGAAAGTTAACAAAAACAATGTGCCATAGTAAGCTTGAAGAAACATATTAGTTAGAAAATTTGAACATCATTGACAAGAACATACTCTTTGTTGTCACGTATTGCACCCCAGTGTAGAAGCAATGAGTCACTTGTATGAGATATCTGGATATTTACTTCTCTTACATTAGCAGAAGTGACTTCGACCTATTGAATCACCATCACATGAACATTATGGCTCCAAATGCCAAAAAGATAAATATACATTTGTTTGTAAAAGGTTACACTTACCAGTAAGTCAATATTTCCGTCAAGATTAAATTTCTCCACTGCCTGTTCAAGGATTAAACATTTTAGCACATATCAGTATGATAACCATATAATGCGTTCAATCAAAGTACAAGCATTACACATATCATGAGCATTTCAACATCTGTTATCGCAGTTACTACAATAGTTTATAGGGGAAGACTCAGGCCAAACGAGCATGTAAAACTTTCAGACCACACAGAACTGCATACCATTCATGTCCATGACAAGTTTTTGAACATAAAAGATAGACTAGTTGCAACCAAATACCACATTCCAAACAATGTTGATACTGGTTAAAAGGACCTCCATAAGAGAAGAAAAAAAAGAATAAAGAATCAACCTGAGAAGCAGGATCCATGGCAAGCACAGCTCGTGTAATAAGCGAGGCGCTTCCTGTTTGAGTGAACAGTCTCCGTCCTGACTTTTGAAGACCTCTCCCGTTGAACTGTGTACTCAGATTAGTTCTGCCAATCTTCCCCACAGCAGGAAGGGAAGAAGAGTTGAGCTTGTTTTGATATGGAGGACGAACCAAACCCCGGTTAAGTAAGTTATGCACAAGGGAGTTACTCATACTTTCTTGTCACACTTTGATCTGAGAAGTAAAGTATTTGATTATAAATAATAACAAAAAGAAAAAGAAAACAATCAAGCTTTGCGTACATAGATGAAATAAACAAACAAGTATCTCAAAAGAAAAGAATCAGACAAGCTGAAAAACACTTTTGTGTTGTTCTTTTTTGACTGACAATACAGTAACAGTTACTTGATGAGCTAATGGGAACAAGTGCAGTATAACACATAGAAGAAAAGAATCAGACTTTCTTTCTTATTACATCAAACAAAGCAGAACACACAAGAACAGTCACAAAGCAATAATCACAATAGCAACTTCAATCAACACGAAATTGAAATTAAAATAAAATAAAAATATTGTACCTGTTTAGCTAAAAACCGAAACTTGAAATCTGAATCACAGAGGAAAAGATCTTTTTGAAAGTGGAGTGAGTTTCTTTCACTCTTTGCCTCTTCTTCTTCACACACTCACGTGTAATCGAAGTAAGACGGGGGCACTTTATCTCCTGCCATTACGCCACGTGGCTCTTTGTGATTCGAGCGCGTAGGACGAACGGCACGGGGGATGAGAGAGAGAGAGTCCAGTCTCGTGGGATTCTTCTCGTGTGAGATATTTTCATAACTACTAGTATTTTATTACACAACTGATTTTGCTTCTTTTTTTTATAAATATTTTAATTTCTTTCTGTTTTTGTCTTTTTGTTTTGATATTTTTTTGCTTTGGTCGACATGTTTTTTTTCTATTCACTAACCACGAACTACAGAAGATTTTTTTTTTTTGTTCTTTATCCTTGTCCAAAGCCAATTTTGTTCCAATTTATATGGCATTTTTCGTGTGGTGTTTCTACAAAGAGCTTTACACATTGTGAAAATATATACACTATAATGATAGAGCCGGTCCTGAATTTTTTGGTGGCTAGAAACAAAGAAAAAAAAAGATTGGTTCATAGACAGAAAAAAAAAAATATTCTGATTTAGAAGAATCAAATCCAGGGCCGGCCACCTTAATTCATATTGTCTTAAACTACTACACTATTATAAATCTTATAATTTTGTGGCCGAAAAATTTGTATATATTTGTCGGACAAAAGTGAATGCTTGATAGGCTTGTTCCAAGAACCATCTCTATATAGTGGTGTAGTGGCTGATTTTTGCAACAACCTATGATGTATGATGTGTCTATATGGTTCAGTAATTTTAAATCCAAATAAAACAAGTTTCCTCATAAAAATCAAACCATAACCTCTCAAATTGTATCAAATCACATATACTGAACGGTTCTCAATCACATCAATTAAATGATTAGTTTATATTGTTTTGAGAAAAAAGAATGAATAAATGTTTATTTGTAAACAATCATCTAAATCAATGTAGACAACGTCAAGCAATTACTACTAATTTTCCTCAAGTCCACCGCTACATTCTGAACCGTATTAACTTGATTCGCATCAATAAACCCTTCGACACACACACCATAATCAGACACAGCCGCAGTTAGAAACGTGTTCATCGCCATTACATCGCGTTTCCTTATGCTTTTCCTCGCGTTAGCCAAATTATAAACCGCGTCACTAAGCGTCGCATAACACGTAGTGATCGCTTGGTTACCATTCTTGAACCTAGCTACCTCAGCTAGAGCCAGTTTAGTCTTGGCCTCCAAGGCTTGGATGGTTCTGTGTGTGGCTCGTCTTGGATTCGTGATACGCTTCACTAAAGGTCGGCATAGAGATGGATATGCGGTGTGAGAGCACATGTTTCTTACACGTGATGCATCCACAACGTCGCTGGAGAAAATAAAGATTAATAATACGGCGGTGGATGCGGCCACGACTGTGAAACGCAGCTGGAAAACGCCGCGACCCGCCATTTTTTTTNGTGTGTGGCTCGTCTTGGATTCGTGATACGCTTCACTAAAGGTCGGCATAGAGATGGATATGCGGTGTGAGAGCACATGTTTCTTACACGTGATGCATCCACAACGTCGCTGGAGAAAATAAAGATTAATAATACGGCGGTGGATGCGGCCACGACTGTGAAACGCAGCTGGAAAACGCCGCGACCCGCCATTTTTTTTATCTAAAATATGTTTAGTTTAGTAGATAAAAAAAATGGCCAAGGTAATTTTTGTGTTGGGAGACTTGTTGTTATTTATAGAGAATGTTTTTTTTGTGTGTTTAGAATGGTTGGTGGTGAGCGTTTTGCGTTTTGTATACAAATGTAAATATAATCTGAGGTTTATCTTGTTTTTAGGGGGTTATTATCTTCTAAATCTTTGTAACATTTTCTCTCTGCCTCTTGTGTTTTTATTACTTTTAACCTTTTTTTTTAATAGCACCCTCTCTTTGGAACCGAAGCTTTCGTTCATGACCATAATCAGTAGATAAAAGGAGTAAATGTCTAGTATTACAGAAAGGCAACCTCTTGAGACCAAACTCAAAAGAACTAACTATTCATTATACTAATTTAAGCGTCAAGAAGATTACATCAGAGAGGCTTTGGAGCTTCATCAACCCATGCGGGAACTCTGTTATGAATTTCAAGGAATCACCTATGTTCTATTGAAAGCCAAAGAGTTTTTTACCTTGGCATGTAGTTCAGTCTTTTCAGTCACATACCCCGAGAGCACAACTGTTCCACCAGTTCTGGAGTGGTGTCTGCACTTCATAAACCCTTGTGTGTCTGTGCCATGTCGATCACGGAAACATTACCACATACCAAGTACTTGTGCTACTTTCTTTACCATCTGTCAAAATCCATCTTTCTTCCATCAACTTCTCGGCTCTTGCTTCATGTGGATGTTTGGTTGAATGGTGTATGGTATTGGCTGTGAGACAAGCAAAACAATCAACTTAACATCAAACCTAACCAGCTCCCAAGAGAAATGCTGAGATTGATAAAACTAAAAGAACATGATCTTGACTCACTACAACAAAATTTGTTTTACCTGTGTTGTTGTACTCGGCAATAAACGGCTTGCAAGATCATCGTTAATTGAAACAGGTAGAGGCGGCATCCGACTCATGACACCAGGCATCTCCTTCATGCTGCAAGCAGAAAGTAAGAGTTTAGCAACTGAAACCTTTGATCATACAAAGGAAAAGAAAGACCAATGAAATGTCTCGAGTATGATATCTGCTATTAGATCCCACACATACTCAGTCAGAATGGCGCTGATGTTATTTCTTGCCTGATAAAAGATACTGATGTTATCCTGCGGCTGTATACACAAGGAAACCGGATCAAATATTATCAATCTTCTCACGCAACTAGCCACAAAGGATTGCTAAAACAAAAAAAAAACTAAATTACCTTGTACGTGGAGAGGTTGTATGAAATTTGACTAAAAGCTTGAGCGTTTTGCTGTAGAAGAGCCATTACTGAGTCACTTATACCTGAGACGAAGAGTACAGCAAAGGTAACTAACTGATAATACTGATCTTTTTTCTATTTGAGACCACAAAACATAGGAGAAGAGAACTAAACCTTCAAAAGGCATGTGTGTACTGTGGTAGTTATTGTTCATGGCATATAAAGCATTTTGTTGTGGTAGATTGGTTAGCATGTTCAGTTCTGGGGATGTATCCACCACCTTACCATAAAGAAGCATGGTTTTCAAAACCAAGTTCAAACAAAAGGAAACAAAACACATATAATAGACTTTATCCCAATGTCATAAACATTATTATCATAACATACAAACATCCCACAACTTTAGATACTGAAACTAAAGTTATTAGATAGTAAATTAGACACGGTGGACAAGCATACCTTTCTATTGCTAATGTTCTTCCCAGCACTGTTTTTCTCTCTTTTTGTCCGTTTTCTCTGTGATAACAGATATGCATGTCTTAAGCCAACACATTTAGAGATAATGATCTATATCTAGTGAAAGATAATATAAAGGTAAACAAGCACTAATGAATAGAGAAAGGGAGACTTGTGGAACTTCTTGTTTAGTTGCATCAAATCATTTTGTTTCACTTTATTATGCAAACATTTAGCAGTATGATGTAGCCATATGTTGTGTGCAAGATAATCATTTAAAGAAACAACTCCTGTCACAAGAGTTGTTATAATCTCTAATCAAAGATAACATGGCAACATGAAATTTCCTAAGACTCCAAAAAGTATAGGGATCCCTGCCATCACTCACAAAAGCAAATATCTTTTTCAGAATAATTGCAGAAATCATATTTTAAAAAAACTTTAGGCTTATTTCCTTTTCCAACAATTCCCTTCACAATCATGGACTCCAAAGCTAATATAAAAAGACAGGTCTAGCGTCAGCAAAACTTGCCATTTCTCTTTTTTATGCTCATCTTTTACACAATCTAGCTTTTCTTCAATAAAACCTACAGCTTTTTTTTTTGTAGGACTTTATCTTTACCGCAAAGCACATAGGCAAAAGTTGCATCATGGTGCTGATTCCATCATATTCAGCATATGCTTTTTTAACAGTGATAGTAATATCCCTCAGATCACTACTTCCATGATAACCACATCCCATTTGAAAAAAAAGGAATACTAGAAATTGCTAAGTAATTAGATAGATATATCCTTGTAAGAAGTCTGGGACTCTAGAGTGGTAATTTTACTTCTCATAAGCAAAAGCACATGAACAAAATGAAGTCTGCAAACAGCTCAAAGAAACAGAACCAAAACCATGAAGAGCATTACGAAACTTACCGTCATCCATCTACACCTCAGAGCTACATCCCTTACAGTTTTATCAGGTAGAGCAGCAGCTATCTTTACATACTTTGAAATTTTGGGTTCATCTTTTAATCTACATCCAGAAAAATAAAGATGTTATGCACAGAAACAACCAAAGCAACAACCTACAGACTCTAGACATGTAACCTACATGGCTAATGGTCCCAAGTCCTAGAGATAACAAATATGCATTGTTTTTACATCTCATGGAAAAACAAAGAGAATAGTTTTTAATTCCAAAGGAACATACTTTAAAAGTCCATCATGGAGAAGAATATAACGTGCTCACTACTTCTCATAAAACAACTCCAAAATGTATAGAAAATTTGATCTTAGTACGAAAAAGCTAAACCCTTTACAATAAACTTTGCATTTGCAGATTAAAAAAAATAGCAAATGGAAGGAAATATCCAAATACAAAACGTTAAGTTATGCACAAGAAGAAGATACCTACTTTGCAAGGCCGTTCTCTAATACATACTGCTCTTCAGCAGACCAGTCCATGACCAAAGCAGCTTCAGGTTTGACTCCTCCAGCCACCAAAGATGGAAACACAAGTCCGGTGGTGCTAGTGCTCGGCGGCAATGAGTGATTATCCATTGGAAACTAATTCGAGCTATGACCTACGAAGATGCCTCACAAAGATTTGATTTAGCCAATTCAAAACTCAGAGTAAGTAAGTGAGAAACCAAGAGAGATTAAATAAGCAAAGAAAAACAGCTGGAAGAGCATGAGATGAGGAATTCACCTTGGAGTTTATAGAGCACTCTGGAAGCTATAGATATCCTCAAGAAGAGCCCTAATCTACGCGGGTGGTGACACAATCTGAGATGCAACCGACAAGAGTGCAACTAGGTTTGGAAACAAAACAACATGAGATGCTCTGGCGAGCTGGAGGAAGGAAGATTAGAAGAAGAAGCGATGTGCAAAGAAGATAGGAGAGTGTTGCAGCAAGTTGCTACTCAGAGAGAGAGAGAGAGAGAGAGAGTTTAAGCAGCAAGTGTTGGTTATTGTTTGGTTCTGTCTTTTGCAGAAGCGCTTTGGTTTTGTTGTATTCAGCTTTATTTCTTTTTATATTTGCTTTAGTGATGAAAACTCTTTTATTACACATTTTATAACCCTATGCTTCTTTATTAAACTGTTTGTTAACTTCTATAAGTAGAAAAGATGGTATAGACCAGTGACATTTAGCTTTAGAGATATCTAGGCATCAGTATCTGGATACTACATATCAATCTAGATTTGATTCAAGATCTTTGCATATCTCTTAAAATAAAGTGTTCATTATTCGATTGTAACTACTAACCAGCATCAAAAGAAGAAAATTTCTTCTATTAGTGGTGGTGGTAGTCATCAGAGTCTCCATAACATCTGTATATTACACAAAAAAAAGTTTAGCTAAATGTTTCTGAACACTGTTGATTATTGTGTTTGTTTTTATCTTAGTGTAATCTTTGTCAAAATAAATCCTGAACCTTCAGCATCTGTTAAACAAAAAGTTATCCTATACACAAACAAACACACACAACAAGAAAACGATGTTTAATACGTTTCGTGCTGTGTTGTGACTTTTTCTCATTTTATATTATGAAAAACATTTCATCAATAAGCCATGTATACGAGTTGACAAATGTTTTCCATTTTGGTTTGTATTTTTAATTTCACAAAAACAGAACTTCCCGCAAAACAAATACAGTATCCGTTCTACCACCAAATCCTTCACTTTCTCGACCCTAAAGAGCAGAAACTTGGGTAGTGTTGTACTCAATTATCGTGCAACGCCTTGGTCAGGTAGAGTCTGCTGAAGTTCTGGCCAGCCACTCTGCATATCAATGGGTCGACTCGTTTTCAGTCTCTTACAAAGTTTGAAATGGTAAGTAAAGAGTTACCAAGAGAACATACCCATTGATTTGGCCACAGAAGTTTGAGACTTGGTTTGTGATGAGGAAGCTCTCTAGCCTCGATGGTTCAGGGATCGGCTTGAAGATTGGGTTTGAAGGATCCTCTTCAGGCAAAGGCTCTTCTCCGGCTGATTTACGAGCCATGTTCTCCGTCCTATCAACCAAAATTCTTAGTTAGTTACTTGGAAGATGAACAAGAGAAGCAAAAGACCAAGACATGTTCTATATAGGACATTCACTACTCTGGCCATTAACACATGTGACTATCACCATCCAAGATAACAACGAGGAAATGAAACAAATCGAACCAGAACCCGAAACAAAAAAACAAAGTGACCTACCTTCTCTTCTGAAGCCAGGCTTGTTGTTGCGCTTGCTGACGAGACAGGTTCCGGTAGTAATATTGGAACTGCAAATTAAAACAAGATAATACATTAAGATAGTTCTGCGGGTGAGGACTTAATAACAGTGACGAATAAATCGTATACTGCATTAAGATACCTTTTGTTGTTCCATAGATAAATCATCCATGCATTTAATCAAAAACTCCATATTGTTCTCAAGGAAAGGAGTGGTTGATGAGTGCAGACGATCATAATCACCCTAAGAAAAGAGAACGTTTCGAAGAATCAAGGGTCAAAACGTGGAATACTGACAGAAAGTGAGAATCTCAATCCAAATACAAATATCGTACCTGTGAGACAGGTGTATCCGTCTCCAGTTCGGTCATAAAGGCACTGACAAGTGCAGAGTTTGAAACCTTAATCTGTCAAAAGGAAGTATTAGACAATTAAACCAAACCTTTTTTCCAAAGTAAGGTATGTGACTAAGTAATAGTTCTAGCATAGTTACTAATAAGATTAGCTAGGAAGACGTCAAAATAGAAGAGCAATGCTCTAGGGACTTACTGGTATTTCCTCAAAAATATCCATCCAGGAGAAATTTTTCTCTCTCAACCTGTCAAAAATAGTGATTAAACATCAAAACTATCTCACGTGGCTCATAATACCTAGGCTTTTAATAAATCAGGAAACATACTTCTCCCCTGTAAAGTTTCCTGCCCGGTACAACTCCATAAAGGAATCTGAAAGCTTCAAAGCCTTCAAAGCTAAAACGCCAAGGTCCGCTTTAGAGGGATCGTATATGATGCAAACACACCTCTTGATGTTCTCCTATAGATGCAAAAGAAATAATTTCTTAAAGTTCATTGCCTGATCTTACAAGGGATTTGTAACAGATTAGCAGACAAATCTCAGTAAATGTTTCTAATGGCTAAGTTACCAATAAGATTTCACCAAAACAGATCTCAATCTACAGTATTACAACATAGAGACATGGTTAACAAGATTATGTTAAGTACCTGGTAATTCATGAAGGTCTCAATCAACTCTACAGTCTGATAAGATCCAAGCACCGTGGATTGATACCTATACAAAATTTATAAAAGACCTTACTACAACATTCCACAACAAAACAAATTCAGCAAGATTCCACAAATCAAAACCTACCATCCAACAGTGTTGTTATCAACATTAACCTCCCTCAAACATCTCATCATCTCAAGCTGATAGTTAGCACCATCAGCTTCAATCTCTTCATCATCATCTCTCACCTACACACTCATTTTAAAATACATCAAATCATAGACAACGCCACAACATTCTTATACCACAATGCACATTAAAAACTTACTGGAAAAGGAAAACAATTGGTAACTTCAAGTACACTACCAACATCAAGTCCAAGAAGCTGCCCTGTGACAAGCGTTGGTGCAAACTCCTTGCAATGTTTGATGACCTTTAACACAGCCTATACACATGAACAAAATCCTCAGAATCTGGAAATTTCGCGAAAGGAGAGATGAGATTTTTACCAGTCCTTCGATTTGAACAACTCTGAGCGGAGGAGCTACCGCTTCGTCCTTGGATATCGCTTGCAGAAACGACCTAGCCACTGTAGAACCAAATCAGTCAGCGAGAAAATTGAAATTGTTAGAAATCGGTTAAACGCAGATGTGATAAAGAGTTTACTTACTGGTTGCCATTGAATGATGATCAACGGTGATGATGAAGCTTCTCCCGGCGGTGAAAACCGTAACGGTGTCGGCGGAGGAGATGAGCGGAGAGAAAGAGTCTGTTTGAGAGGGCTAACGTTTCGCTAAGAAACTAAACTTTCAAAAAAGTCCTCGAAATTAAGATTTTATTCGTGATTGACCCTAAATGTTTCTTTATGTGAGTAACAAAAGAAATTGAGAGCATATGGATCTTTAATGCTATTGGTTAAATTTGAGAGATAAGAAAGTTTTTTTTTTTTTTTTTGTTACTCTTTCTTTAAGCGAGAAGGAGGGATACAACTGCATCTAGGTCCCATGTCATACAACTTTTAAACAAGGAAAATAAATCAAGCTGAGAGTATAAGAACAAGCCTAACTTGATATTGACATGGCAAGTAACCAAGTTTGTAACAAAAATGACAACACAAAAATGTGATATCAAACAAGGAGGTGCTCTCATCAGTGGCTGATATTTATCTCTTCAGTTAGTAGCCTTTATTTCCTCGAATCCTGGCTCTCATGTCTACCTACAGGAAACACATACACGATGTCCAATTAGTTTAAGAGAGTTGAATCTAACAATCTCTAAGTGTTCACAAGCATGCTTGATGTTATTCTTTGGCTGTTAATTTCCTATCATCTAAACATCAATATATATGATTCAAAAATTACATTTTATCACAATGGATTTGGATTTGGTGTACAAAATGACTCTTTTAAGTGGAGAAAAGAAAACCAACCTGTCCTCTTTTACAATTGAAGTAAGTTTCCCGTAAGCCAACACACTCGCTGGGTATACAAGGGCTTTTCTCACCAGCGCAGTCCCTAATTGACCGTTTCTCGTCCTATACAACAAGTATCCAAAATGAAGGCAACTGGTAATTAGTTAACAGGTTGTGAATACATACACTAGAGAGAGTTTAAGCAAAATCAGTAGCTCCATATGTGCATATTAATTACCTTGACACACATGGAATCACTGAGACACTTGACAAGCTCTTCAGCAAGACCCTTGCAAGACTTCGCCATTTTCAACTGTTCCCATACAAAAAGTGCATCCCATGTTCCCCAAGCAAATGAGATTTCAGGATATATAAAGCTTCAAAATATTTATTGTCAAAATAAAAACAAGAGATTGGCTCTACTGTACAAACAAAACATAGTCTACAACAGAGAATGTGTGTGTTGTGAAAAACACAACAATAGATAGAGCTCTAGTGTTAACACTCACCAACTAAAAAAAAAAAAAAACACTCGCCAACTCTACACATAACCTGAAACTTTCCTTTAACTAAACAAACAAAAATATGTTTAATCACAGATTTAAAAACACATCTGATTCCTCTGTCCTCTCTCCAAGCAGAGAACTCAAAATAGTATGATCAATAGCATAAAGGAAGAAAGTACAACACAAATATTCATAGACTCAACAAGAAAGAAGATGAGGGTTACTGATTTTACCGGCGACGGATCAAGAAGACCGACAGGGTTTAGTTTTGTTTTGAGTTTTGGCTTTGTCGAAAAGTCGTGGCCTGTCCTGTCCATTGGTAAATTTTGGTTCGGTTATATTATCGTTAACCGAATAAAACTCGAAATAAATTAACCAAATTTCATTTCGGTTTGTGTTAAACTTATAAGCAAAACTGTCTCAGCATTTTTCCGGTTAATTGTGCTGGAGGCTCAGTAACATTTATTATTTACCAACATGTTTCATTTTCGTCTATTTCAGTGTCTGTGTCTGCATGGTTAGTTAGTTAACTAGATTATGTATGTTTCTACGTATATACATCTTAAATTATCACAATTTATTATGTTCATTTATAATAGCAAAACATACAGCTATATATAAAGAAAAAAATGTCACTAAGGGGGGGTTAGTGGTAAACTAATTCATGCTGATTTCAAAAATCCATGGATTTGTTTTTTCTTAAAGATTTTCATGGATTGTAATAATATATCCTCCCCTATTTATAGAATCTGTATATTTTGCTGTGTGGAATGTCGTAGATTTATTTGGATTCAAATTAACTTTTTCTACCGTTATTTGGTGATACAATAATAACTTTTATATATCTTCCATATAATATCTATTCAAATAAGGTATGTTTTAGTCTATTTAAAAAGAGGAGTTGCGTGTAAGAATTTTTGTGCTTTCTATTCATCTTTCAGAGCTTGCATAGGTAACACATGTCTCTCTTTCTCTCTTTTTTTATGATGTCTTGCTCTGTTTTTAATCGTGGGTGGCGTGATAATAACGGTATATTGAACAAAGCAACGGTGGAACATAAAATATTACCAGTCTTGAACGAAAGACTTGGATGCCAAAAAACCCACAAGCATTACTCAAGCAGAATCAAGTTCTTGAAGGGTCAGTATCAGTGCTATGTGGATCTTTTAAACAATAGCTCAGGCTTTGGCTGGGATCCTGTCATGAAAAGATTGGTGGCTTCTAACGAAGTATGGAATGAATATTTGAAGGTATGTCTTTACTTTACAAAATTATTTGGTCTACGTGAACAAGAATCACTCATTGTTGTATATTTATAAAATAATAATATATTCCTTTATTGATTTCTACTGTATTTTAAGTTTCATATTTATTTTGTAGGGACACCCAAATCACAAGTTCTTAAGATATGACTCCAGTGAACAATTTGATGATCTGAAAATCATATTTGATTGTTCAACCGCTAATGGTAGTTCTTCGATTGGCTTGGGTGATACAACAGATGCTCGTACCTTTACGGTTAGTGACAGTCAAGAACAAGAGAACTTGAATGCTGAGGACATCAATGAAGATGTATATGGTCAGCAACCATCACCAGAATATGCTGTCAAAAGGCGTGTCGAAAAACTTGTCTCGAGAAAACGATCTCGACCTGACGCATCTAGCAGTTCTGTTGAGATAAAAAATGATCAAACTGATGCTATGGTAGTGATGACCAGCAAGATCCTTACATGCATACAACAGAGAGAAGAAAGGCAACAAAAAGAAGTTGAGAAAAGAGAAGCTGAAAAGAAGAAAAACAGTGTTTGGGATGCTATGAAAGAAGTTCCTAACTTGGCTCAGCATATCAAGTTTAAAGCGGTTACTCTTATCTATTCATTAGGAATGAAAGATGTCTTAACTGACATGTCTGTAGAAGAACGTTCACTATCAGTGAAAATTTTCATAAGGTCTTACGAGCACTGAATACCTTAGCACCTGATTTGATGGCAAAGCCTGGAGTTACAACAGCTGCAAAGATAAGTGAGAGCACAAGATTTTATCCCTACTTCAAGGTACAAATAAAATTTAACTAAGTTATGATACATTCTTTATTCAATTGTTTTATTGACAATTTTATTTTTAATCTTTATAGGATTGTATCGGAGCTATAGATGGTACACATATTTTTGCAATGATACCAACGTCTGATGTTCCAAGCTATCGTAATCGCAAAGGATTTGTATCACAAAATGTCCTTGCTGCGTGCAACTTTGATTTGGAATTCATGTATGTTCTTAGTGGATGGGAAGGATCAGCTCATGATTCAAAAATTTTAAGTAACGCGTTGACAAGGCACGGTAGCAGACTAATCGTTCCAGAAGGTATGTACTTAAGTTGTAGTAACCAAATTATATATGTACATATATTTTTATTCATTTACAAATTGAATTTCAGGAAAATTCTATCTGGTAGACTGTGGATTTGAAAATCGTCAAAAGTTTTTAGCTCCGTTCAGACGTACTCGCTATCACTTACAAGAATTTAAAGGTGAAGGCCGTGATCCAAAAAACCAAAACGAGTTGTTCAATTTGCGGCATGCGTCTTTGAGAAACGTAATTGAGCGAATTTTTGGTATTTTCAAATCTCGCTTTTTGGTTTTCAAGTCAGCGCCTCCTTTTTCTTTTACAACACAAGCAGAATTGGTTTTAGCTTGTGCTGGATTACATAACTTTCTACGAAAGCATTGTCGATCTGATGCTTTTCCAGAGGAAGTGATCACTCCAAACATTAACCAAACAAACTTTGAAGAAGCTGTTCATGTGGGTGCTTTTGAATCTCAACAAAGAGAATATGCTAATAATTGGAGAGACACAATAGCTTTTGATATGTGGAATGACGCGATAGAAGCTGGAAGTCAGCGTTAATGGTGAGATATATTCCTATGCTTCTTTGTTATGGTGTCACTTGTTACTTTTCATGTGTTATGGTGTCACTTATGACTTTTCACATTTTTATTTTATTCGCATAACCAATCTGGAATAATCGTATTGATATCACTTTTATTATTTTCTCATATTTTTATTTTACATTCATTAGCGACAGTGTTGTAATTAGCATAGTCATACTGTTTGACAAGAATCTTTATTGGTTCAGTCTGCAAAAGAATCTTTACGGTGTTATGGTGTTTACAAAAGTAATAATGTTTATTAGGTATTGTTGTTGTGTAAACTCTGCAGTCACGTAAGTTTGTCATCTACTTTGAGAATACAAGGAGTAAGCCAAGTATTTTGAAAGTTATGATTAATGAGTAAAATGTAAAGAATCATTGCTCCAATAACCCTATAGTTTGATAGAATGACAAAATCAAAAAATACTTAGATTTTTTGAATAACAAGAGATTTTAAATTGAGTTACAAAATCATCACACCAATAACAAGATATTTGTATGGAATTATAAAATCATCACACCAATAACACAATACTTTTTAAGAATCTGAGAATCATATTACCAATAACAACATACTTTTAAAATTCTTCAAATCTTCATAAATCCATCACCCACTAACCCCCCCTAAGACTCAGTGCAACCAAAAAAAAAAAAATTCATAGAGAAATGTAAATTTAAAAATTCTGTCTATTTTTCCAATTATATTCCACAACTTTTATATTTGTAAAGAAAGTTCTATTAGTGAAGTTGTAGTAAACTGAATCATCTCACACTTTTTTGCATTTTGGTGTCCTCGAAGTTCAAAGGCGATTCTAATGAACCTGTGCAGTGTTGGTTCAAGCGCACTCGGCTAAGAGAAGAAAGAGCTCTTCATCGGTTATAGCTCCCATTTCCATTGCTCTTTCCAGCACGCTTAGCCCTCCATCGTCCTCTATCGATGGACGTGCTCCTCTGCATTTATACAAACAAATTCAAGACAGCATGAACAAGAAAGAGAGGGTCCCTGAAATGTTTAAAATGTACCTTCGCAGTAGAATCTTTGCAAATTTGTGATTCCCTGAAGCTATGCAGTGGTGTAGTGGAGTTCTTCCGTGGTAATCTCTCACGTTTAAGTCAGCACCAAACTGCAACAACAGTTCCAGCAAGACAGAGTCTCCAATGTGACAAGCCACATGGAGCAATGAACAGCCTTGAAGACAGTTTCCTGGTTCGTTTGAGTCTTTGAGTCTCTGGCACATTGATGGATCATGTCTTTTCTTGACTGCTTGCTCTGATGCGTCAGCATGGTGATAAGCATCAATATCAGTTATGTCATCAAACTTGGTATTGATGATACTCACATCCCCTGAAGTCACTATGAGTCTATAGATTGCTCTTATGTTTCGGCTTTGAACAGCTTCCCAAATTCTACTTGAAGCGGAAGGGTTTCCTTTGCTTTCATCTTTGATTACTAATGCTTTCTCCAGGTACTAGCATAGCCATTAATCATCACCAATCAGATTTAGTTTTACCTTTTCACAAATCATATAATATAATTCACTAAATACATTACCTTCCCTAGAATGTATTTCTCCTTCACAGAAAAGGGATCTTCTGGACATGGTTTTGAAACTGAAGCATGTGACATTGTTGATCCATTTTCACTGCAAAAAGTAGAACATTCTACCTGATCAGATTCAGCTACATGCAGTGTTTAGTAACTGATTTTTTTTTTTTTGGAAATACAAACTATAAATCTTTAGGGATCATACCAGTCATCATCTAGGTGGAGTAGTCCTTCCCACAGTGAATTACAGTACAAATTTCCCAAATTTCGAAATAAATCCAAGATCGTTGGCTCCCACACTTTCACATCTAATGTGAGCGACCTCACCTGCATTTTGTGGTGTAAAAAATTTATGCCATCAGAGAAAAATCGATTCAGAAGCTTAACTACAACGATGTTGACTTTCATCATACCTTGGATATATGAACACCGAGGTTCCTGTGAACACCAGAGCATTGAATGCACAACAGAATTCCAAGATTTAATGATGCCCAGTCAGGGTCAGGAGCATTGCACTCTGCACATACATTATTCCCTGGGATTCCTCTGAGTATTGTGGAGACTTCGTCCCCAATATTTCCTCTTGCATCGTTATGTCGACTTTGATTTAGGGAAAGGACACCTTCAGCAGGAGAAGAACCACTGTAGTCTTTATCCAAGTATTGAACTGGTGACTGCATAAACGATATGTTTTACTTCTCTATCAATTCAGTTTGTAAATGAAAGTGAAGCCTGAGACTTATTGTGTCAACCTGTTGGAGAAAATGAGAATTTAGAAGCGTTCCTATAGCTGCTGTGATTTTGTTTACCCAGTCCATCCTATCTGCTCCATTCTCAGCCTGGCAAGGCAGGTGAATCCTTTCTGTTAGTACTCTGAGTACTTGGATCATCGGAAGAATGAACCACTATAAATATTCTAAGTCTGTTGCAGCGGGTTACCTGAAGTGTGTATGTTTTTTGAGGAGAAATGATTCTGAAACAGAGCCGAAGATCCATGTCTTCTGCATCCAATTTTATCAAAGAAGTGCGTAGATCGATAGTTTTATAGCCTAAGCTTCCCTCGGTGAGAGAAGCTGATCTACTGTGTCTTGCACGAAACCGACCAAAGACGCCAGTATGTTGGTCAGATGAACCACTATAGTTATGCTGAGATCCCTGAGAATGTGCAGCTTAGAAACGTAAAGACATTATGGACGTCTCTCATGGATTTGAGGCAGGAAATAAAAGAGGGCTGCGTACACATACCATTGATTTATTGCCATTGTTTCTGTAATAGTACATGGAACCATGACTATCAAGGACAAAAAACTTCCTTTTCCAATCAGTTCTCAGACTTGATGATCGCTTCAATAAATACCCTTGTTTAATTACCTGCATTGGTCCGAAAAATGGAAACCTTGTAAGACAAGAATAAATTCAGCCTGTTCAAAAAAATTGAAGTGTGAAATGATAGCAGAACAAGTCTCTCTATGCTGCATAACTGCATTGGGAAACACTTACTTCCTTGTCTGCTGTTAAACTTGTTTCGGTATTTTTATATGGGACAGTTCCAACAACACGGTTTCCGTTAACACCAGAGACCTCCACGTTAGCGGCAAGTTGTTGGCTGTCTAACTCAGACTGTGTCCTGAACTCTTGAATGCGCCTTGCTAGTCTATCTTGTTCAATCTTCGACTGTTCTTTTGATTGTTGCGCATATGTTAATATCTGCAAGAGTCACAAGCATCACTATATTAGTTATCATGAAACTTTGACTATCCCACATCACATGTTAACTAGAGAAAAAAATAAGTCAAAGACCTAATAACAGACACTAGTTCTGTGACAGCAATTTGACTATAAGTTTTGTACCTGATGGATATATGGTTCCAATTGACCAAGCAAGTCATATCCCTGAAAATAAAGATACCCCAGATGTATGATTTGGTTGGTCTTTTACAAGTTAGATTTGGCAAGGATTCATAAATGTAATAATTAGAGACCTTACAAGTTTAAAATATCTCAGATGAGCATCCATAATTGCACTTATAGATTCCAAGAACTCATACTTCTTTTTAGCTTCAATAGTCATCAATGAATTGACCTGAATTCTTCAACCAAAGCAAAAAATTTAATCACAAGTAGAAATGTTGGAAGTAAATGGTAATGGCTTCTGTAAGTAGGGTAGCATACTAGATTGAAACGGCTCTTCTCAAATGTTGACTTTGAGTTCTCCAGATCCTATCATCCAAATCAGACACCACATGTAAGTTATCATGCAGTGAAAAACACACAGAATGTGTCAAATAATTATAAGAAATAAATGTTCTACCTCTTCCAGCTCTGCAACAATTTCTCCTTTCGTATTCTTCTTTAAAGACACAAACTTTTCGCGTGACTACAAGTAGATAAGAAAGCTCATTACACAACTTCAGATCAAGTAGAAGATCGAGTACAACTGTATGCACAAGAACCAAAAGAAGCTATCTAGACTCTGTAGCCAAGTACCTGATCATACGAATGAGCAGCTTTATCAAATCGTTGGCGAGACTCCTGCAAAGGTAGAAACAGATTGATTGGAAAACGACAGCTTGAGTTTTTTTCGATCATGTATGTCTACGTGAGGTGCAGGACATAAGAAACACTTTTCTATTGTCATATGTTCAGGAACATATATAGCAGAGAAAAAAATGAATACCTTAGCTTCTTGTAGATCAACATTGATAAAGTTCATCAACCTCTCAAGTAACACATGCTCCACCTACAAAATTTTCCTCACAAAATTACCACAACTGTTATAAGAAAATGACACTGAATCAACCTGGACACTATGTTAACCACATCTTGGTTCAAATTACCAAAACAAAATTGCTCTCAATGATGATAGGCATCTTAGTATTTAGTTTACTGGCATTTATTTATAGTTCACACGATACTATTGAGCCTATGAGCATACCTGTGAGCAAAGAAACTCCTTATAAGAGGCAAGCTCTCGAAGTGTATTTATAAATTTGGATATAACAGGACCTGGTGTCACATACAAGAACAACAAACAAACAGTTGAGACTACCACTGTCTCTTAGGAGTTACTATGACAAGGAGAACAAACATAAACTGAAAGAATGTCTGAAGATGAACCTCCAATTGAAAGACTAATGGGATCATCATGTCCAGCCCCGAATTCTGCCAGACAATCTGCAAAGGCACTTTCTCCTTTGGATGCTTCTCCCAAAACTCCCCTGTAAAAGAACAATAAAATGCAATTCCTATCAGACAACGATAACAAGCTTGGCCACGGCCACGTAGATACAATGACAAACGTGGACAGACAAAACCAACAAAATAGTGAGACACAACAAAAATAAATGAAAATTGCAAAAAAAAAAAGTCATAATAATGTCATAATGAAAGAAGATTTTACAAGAAAATTGAAAAGCAATCAACAAAGATTTAATGCTCAAATAGCTTTCACTCGTTTGATAATTAATTAAGAGAAGAGACAAAATGTTACTTTATATCAATTCTCCAATTTTCACTTCCAGAAAATATATATGCCACAAATGGTATTCTTAGAATCTTACATCAATAGAGAAGCTAAGATAATGAGATTAAGAAAGAGGATAGATAAAGAGAGACACATACATAAACTTCTGAACGCCTTTGTATAGCTTCAGACAACGATCTTTAAGCTCTTCAGCTGTTCCTTCCAATGAACAAACCTGAATCCAAACCAAATCAAAGCAGCAGACACAAGAAAATAAAATTCATAATTCTTACAGCAGAAAATCTTATATTCAAAATTTCAAAAAAAGGTTAAAATTTTTCAAATTTTCACCTGTTTCTGAAACATTGGGGAATCCTCCAAATTGATAAAGGCAGCCATTGATGAATGACAACAAAAGAAAGGAAGAGGCTTTCAGACCAAACAGTGAAGATTCGAATCACGACCGAGTTTTTGCTTTCTGATTCGGTTTGAAATGGATCTAGACAAGATCCAGAAGCGTTCTCAGTTGGTGATGTTTTGTCTGACGGTGATTGTTTAAGAAACAGCCAGACAGGACAGTAGTATCCACAACCTTCTGTATATTTACAAATATACCCTCCTTCGTATATTTTACTATTTTTTATTAGGAAACACAATTAATGATAATACAACCCAGAGTCTTTTTAAAATAGTAGTTTTTAGTCAATTATTAGTGCATCTCGAATGATAAGGACAGAGGTTTATTTAATCATTCAACATGTGAAAAGATTTCATTAGACATTCCAACTTTCATTTATTATTTTTTAATGTAAATTTAAAGTTTTACAATAAGAGTATAAACAATTAGAGAATTGTGGTTCTATTTTACTAGACAACTGTTTTGGTGTGAAATGGTTTCCAGAGCTCTCTGCTTCCTGCTGAGAATCATCTCCATCATTTTATTCATAGACTTGATCTCCTTCTCAGCCTTCTTTATCTTTCTTTCCTTTGACTCTATCTTCTTTCTTCTTACCAAAACCATTTTCCTCTTTTCTTCATCTCTTGTCTCCATAGCCTACAAAAACATAAAATAACCAAATCAGAACTTGGTATTTCTCTAAACCGAATCAAATACGGTTAGTTCTCTCTAACCAAGAAACTTAAATCGGGTTAGACCTGGATCTGGTTGCGCAAGGCTTTGGTAGAAGGTAATGAATTCCATAGAGAAGCTTTACAAGGAGCATTAACAAATCCTTGATGTTTCTCCCATTCAAGTTCTTTTACCTTTCTCTCACATTCTTCTCTATCCATTGTCCCTGGATTATTGTTATATTCTGGCCATTGTATCCACCTTTGTAACTTCCACATCTGTTCTAGAGAAATAAACCGTTTAAAATGCATATATAGTGAAACTTGTATAAATTAATAATGTTGGGATTACACCAAAATTATAATTTTTATTAATTTATAGAAACTAGAGATTTATTGATATATTAATTGAATCAAAAACTCAATTTGAAACTATAAAACTATATGATTTAATAGAGATTTTAGTGTATATTAATTTATAGAATATTAATTTGAAGAGGTTATCATGTATAAGATAAAAACACATCAATATCAACAACACATATGATAACACTTAACCTGATCTTCAATTTGTTTAATAGAAAACTCATCTTCACTTGGATTCAGCATCTTGAAGAGGCCTCTCTCACCATCCATGCTTTTTGCCTCGTGTAACATCCGATGGTTTAGGTTCTGTGTAACATAATATAAATCGGATTTCGTTTAAAAACATTTAATATGATCAATAAAAAGGGTATTTAGAGATTAGTATTTTCTAACATGGATGTTAATCTCTCGTTTCCCGGAGGAGAATGATACAACAGCTTTCTTGTCACGATATGCGTTATTAGCGAAAGTTAACTTGTCTAGCTCCATCTTCTTAAGACAATCTGATTGGTAAGTGTACTGGTCATCTTCTATCCATGCCCATTTTTCATTATAAATCCATCCGGAACGCATGTTGTATTTCAGTGTAGAGATGGCTTTTTCATGATATATCTGTACTTAAAATAAAATAAAAAATCCTAAGTTTTTCACCAGCTTATCTACATATATATGGTAGAGATTGATTTATAAACAAACATGTATATACCTTTTTCTCTGTAATTTTTCTTTGGATTTCAAGCATTTGTTGTTGCATCTCCTCTACCATTTTCTCATTCTCTTTTATAGACTTCAAAAAGCTGTATTGGTTCCTCCTCTTGGGTTCATTGAGATCCAGACGTCCTACATTACCGTTAGTCTTCTTTCTGCTAGTTTTTGTGACCTCCATACGGGTTTACTACAACTGTTATCTGAGTTAGATGAAAGAGAGGGTTGAGAGTACTTTGATATATAGACTCCATGACTACATAGTTAAAAAAAAAGTATTTTTGTAACTTGGTTTGCGCGCAAAGTAAGTTGACCATCTTGCCAACTTATACTATTAAACAAGCAGATGCTGTCGGGGCCTCTGCGCTATCTACTACTAAAATAAACAGCAATTGAAATAATATACAACGATGGAACCTCTCATGCAGATTGCTTCATATTTGTGTGAAATATAAAAATACTAATCATGTGTATGTTACATTATACTAAACTGACTCTTTTACATTAAAATCTTCGAACCTGTCAAAGTCAAACCACTTGTTTGCAATGAGTGACACATTTCTTTTTCTATACCTTTATGTTATGCAAGCTTTCATGAATATTTGCTTTAATATATGAACACAATAAACTGTAAGATATATACACTAGACGTAAAAACATTGAGAAACTAACTAACCAGACTAAACAAAGTAATATCACAAGATACTTGACCATTATATCTGGCACTGTATTCAAGCTATCAAACAAAAAATCTGTCTTATATTTAAAAAAATTCAATAGCAACAACAAAAAATTCATGAATGATAAAAAAACTCATTATGATTCTTTTGACTGATTTAGATTATGAATGATAAACAAATAAAAAAAACATTACGGTTCACATGATCTCACATCCTAGATGTAAATCACCCATAGTAAAGTTCTTAGGTGGAGGTGGCGTAGGAGGGAAACCCTTAGCCGCCGGCTCCTTCTGCTGGCCACCACCAGCAGGTACTGGCAGTGGAGGCTGGGGATTAAGCGGAAATGGATATGGAGGTGGAAGAGCATAACTTTGATACGGTAGAGGTTGTTGGTACATATTCCAGTTTTGTGGAGGAAGAGGAAGAAGACCATTGTATTGTTGATAGTAATTGTTGTTGCATTGTTGCATCTGATGTCCTCTTTGATTGTCTAGAGGCTTCTTGCGTTCGTGATTACTCCATACAATTTCAGCTTTTTGGCCTGCTTTTGCAATCTTTTCAAGTATTGTCTCTGGATTAGTTTTCCCATATATGTATACCGTTTTACTTCGTTTGTCTATCTTGAAATCAACATCTGTGTATATATAAAATGGTTAAATCTATAAACTAATAGTAAGAAAATGATAATAAGTAAATAAAGAGAGAGAGTATGAAACCATCAATGGTATTGAGCAATTCTTTCAAGGGTTTCACCCATCCGGACGTAGGAGAGTCAATCTTCAAGAGACTGACCTGTGTAAATTAAACACCATATAAGATGATACAATATTCAGATATAAAACATAACACTAATGTTACCATTTATACCATGTGATTAGAAGATGATCCCATCGATGTAGATTCAAGACTCTCTTTCTTCTGTACAGAATAAAAAAATGACATAAGTAATTCATTATGAAACATGTAGCAAAACTCACTTTCTCAGAGAAAAATGCAAAGTTTCACGAAGTTTTGGAAGAGCAACAGTGATTTGAAAAGACGAAAGCAAAGGAAAATCTAAAGGTGAAAGATGAAAGAAATTAAATTAAGCAGGGGTGAAGAAGAAGACCTGTTGGGAGAAGATGGATGAATGTGAGCGTTATTACAATAGCTAGAATTTTTAGGGTTTAGGTTTTATTACGGTGTTTTTTTCTTCTAAAATAATTATCATTTTAGGACCGGAAGCCAAAGAAGGATAATGTATTAAGCCCAGCTCATTCCCCTGTTAGTCACATTATTATCCAAAAACAAAATAACATGAAGTATTTGTGGGAAGCTCACAGTCTTGGGGGTTACGCTATCCTGCCGCAATTTTCGTAATCAACAGCTTAATTAGGAGAAGAGAAGCATGAAATTTGCATGCCTTCCTTTGTTAATCTTATATTTAAAGTCTTTTAGCATAGAAACGAAGCTCATTAAGGTACATCACCGAGTAGACCAAAGAAGTTTACATCATATTTAATTTAACATTTCACAATGGTTACTACTTCACCAAGGTAATACTCTTCCCCCTGGTCGTATCTCCGACCCATCTTCGTCTTCAAAATCAAAATCTAGCTTCTCCATAACCATACCTACTCCATCTCCATCTGCACATTCACCATGATGAAACTCACTGCTTTTGCTTCTCACCGTTTTTTTGCAAGACTGGCTTGAGCTCTCTGCGAAATCATCATCCTCTTCGGTTACATTCGGACTAATGTTCTCGTCTCTTCTCCTCTTCCCTGAATCCGGACTAATCATAGAGTCTTTCTTGCTAGTTCCATTGTACTCGTTGACCGTTGCCTCTATTGTTTCCAACAACCGATCACCGTACTTGGTTACTTTGGCCCTGAAAGAAAAGTTTTAAAGAGATACACAGCATCATCATCAACCTCTTCTCTTTGCCTTTGTAAGGACTACAGCTACATGTTTCGAAGACTTACTTCCCAAGGCCATTTATCTCGAGGAGTTCCTCTTTGGTTCTCGGAATTTTCTTGCTTATCTGCTGAAGCGTTGCGTTGCTGCAACCACCCCAAACAACAGATTGACCATGATCAAGTAAAGAATTTGGAAGATTATGGAGAGGAATGGTTTTCAGGATTACCCAAATATATGGTATGCCATGACACCGTCAGGGGCTTCCTTGACAAGAAGCGTACGAAGCTTCCTCAAGGCTATGTACATGATGGCGGAGAGATTCTACAGAGAAAAGATCAGTGAACCAACCACTCAGCAATTCAAAGTGGTAGATTAATCTCAACAGGAAAATGGAGATTATACTACAAAGTTATATACCACATCTTCTGGAGGAGCATCTGTTGTTGTTAAAGGAGCTTTTGCAGGGGTTGCCGCGGCTCTACAGGGCTTTAATACTTTTACAGAAGACGGGAATCTGAAACAGAACATGGAAGTTTTAGCTCACGTTATCTCCTAATAACACATTAAACATAGCTAATTGCAACGATTTGCTTGAACCTAGTTTATGTGAACCTTACTAGAAAGATATATCTCAAGCAAAAAAGTCAAACCTCATCATTATAGTCTGGCTTCCAGAAAAGAGTGAGGCAGCCTTTGATTTATTCACCTAGATACAGACAGGTAAATAGACGTTAACCGCTTCAAGAATGGATGTTATGTGCATATATTAACAATTAATGAGAGGGAGAAGCGAAGTGGAAAATATTAACAATTTAAGTACCTTGAGCAACGATGATACGGATCCGTACATATCACTTTTCCTAACATCTTCCACAAGAATGTCCTCTGTGACGAGATAGTGCAAGATACGGGAGACTTCAAGTTTCGATAAATGTTTTCCAGCTCCATGGAACTGCAAAGTCTCATGTCTGTTTTTCTTGACCTACATGCAGCCAAGACAGTTATTTTTCAAAAGATCGAGCAACACTAATTGGACTGAGAAGCCAAGGTTTTCACTAACAATTCGTACCAAGTACAAAAAGGGACCAAGATTTATGAGGAACATGGTTTAGGTTTTAGCAGAATCTGGATGAGAAATGAAAAAATATGCATATAAAATATCTCCTAAAGATTGAAAGAGTTGGGGGATTTTTTTTATTTGTACATACCATTTGGTTTAAGGAACCTCTGTAGACTTCAAGAATATGAGATGAAGAAAACCTTTCTCCTGTTTGCTTCACCAGCTCAACCTATACAAGTCACATGTGATCAATAACAACACATCCAACAAGTGAGATATACATGATGAAACTTTAAACAGTTCCTTTACCAATTGCCTTGTAATCAAAGTGATATCTTTGTCAATCAAACTCTGGCTACTGGAACAATTATCACACGTTCTTTTGCAGTTTGTGGAGTCAAACTTTTCTCCAAAATGGACTAGTTGTAGGAAACGTCGGCAGTCCACCTCATTTTCACAATATCTAACCTGAAGCGGTAAATGCCTCAGCAAGTATAACTTCGAAAGCTATATAATAGGAATAATCATGTTAAGTACCATGCGGAGAAGGTTTTCAGTGTTCGTTTCAAGTAACCTCCCTGAACTTGCTACTCGATTATAACCATATGCCATGGGGCTTTGGTCAACTCCTCCTTGACTAATCATATGCTTAACTCGTATCTGAAACAACATTGTGTATCATAAACATAACCAAGAGTTCCAAACAAAAAGGCGGAGGCAAGAAACGGAACAATATATAAATGCAACTTACATAGTCGCCATAACCGTAATACAAAACACAAGATGCTCGCTGGCCATCCCTGCCAGCACGACCACATTCCTTGTTTTTTATTAAAAAAAAAAGCTTATGTGAGTATCTTTGTGTGCAACTACTTAAACAAGGTTTTCATGATTGAATGTAGAATACAATTATATACCTGATGATAGCCTTCTATAGACTTCGGCAGCGAGTGATGAATAACAAAGCGGACATCAGGCTTGTTGATTCCTGGAATGTGCAATGTTAATGAGCAGCAAAATTCCATCAATTAAAACAAACATAAGCAAAAACAAGTACCCATTCCAAAGGCCACGGTAGCACATATTATATTGATTTCGTCCTTGCTCCATTGTTTCTGTACTAAAGCACGTTGAGTAGGCTCTATGCTGCCATGGTAGAATGCTGCTTTATGACCGAACTCCTGAAATAGTATCCAATTCTACGTTTAAACATGATATTTATGCACAGGACATGAGAAAGCTTCAGTATACAAATGACCAACCTGTAACCTTTGAGCGACTTTCTCGCAGTCCATTCTTGAAAGACAATATATAATTCCACATTCATCAAAATGGTTTTCCTTGATAAATTTGTCAATATCTTCCACACATTTTTTCGTCTTGGGAACAACGGAATACCTGCAAATTTTTTGGTAAGCAGCATTCTCGCATATATATTTTCTTTTAGGTAGATGTACTGACCATAGATTTGGGCGATTAAAACTTTGCCGGAACACAACACAGTTAACAAGGCCAAGAGCTTGTACAACATCTTCCTTCACACTGGCTGTTGCGGTAGCTGTTAACGCTAACACGGGAATGTTCGGAAACTTCTGCTTCAGAATACCAAGACTCTGCAAAATAAACAATATTCTTGGTGAGTATAAAAGGAAGGCGATGTTTCTCGAAAAGGTAAGAGAGTGCCTTGTTTGAAGCTTTTGATGGCCTAACCTGGTAGTCTGGTCGAAAGTCATGCCCCCATTGGCTCACACAATGAGCTTCATCAATAACAAATCGAGCAAGCAAACCACGAGAGTTTAAGTTATCTAGATGCCTCAGAAGAGAATCGCTTCTGCAATCATGAAAGAGATACTTCTTAGCTACGTTTTACCAGTAATATCATTCAGTGTGGAGACCCTTACACTAGTTGTCCACAAAATGCTAATACCTAATCTAGAATTATAAGAAACCTATGGTAGATTTGCATATGTCATAGGCCATGATACAAATATATAAAAAGAGAGAGGATTGTGTATAAATAAAGTTACAACTCACTGTGCCACTTTTTCGGGTGTGACATATAGTAGTTTGTACTTCGAATGCTCGGAACTAAGCTCCTGAAATATCTTCAGTTGTTCAGACCATTCCATGCCAGCACTTAGGGAAGCAGCGGGTATATTTGCCTGTAACCATGATTCAGAAATCAAACTGTAAAATGGAATAATCCTATATATGAATAATTTATCAATGAAACATAAGAAACAATAGAGACTCTTGGGGTTTCTGAAATGTTCACCTGCAATAGGTTCATTATTTGGTCTTGAATGAGTGAGACGAGTGGAGAAATTACTAAGGTTATTCCTTGACAGATCAGAGCAGGGAGCTGTAATAGAAAGATGTTAGAAAAAAGTTTGAAGAACACAACCTGAAACTTCCATCGCTTATGCGTATACGCTATGTCAGTGAAAAACAAAGTGACATTATAAAGTAATGTTTAGAGTATAATGACCTGATACGTCAAACTCTTTCCTCCTCCAGTTGGCATCAACACAAATACATCCGAGCCACTCATTGTTGCGTTGATGATTTCTCTCTGGTTAGGTCGAAACGAGTGATTTCCAAACACTTTTTTGTTACTGACCTGAACGTTGCAAGAAAACACATGAACACATGGTATGTAAGTGAATAAAGAAAATATAGAAACTCAGCAAATCACCTCCAATTTTCTAGTCCAAGGGAAATCACGGCTGCTCCACTTTTGGTCGGTTGAACCTTCAGTGTACGTCACCTCGATAATCCTCGGAACATATTGTTCCCTCTCTACAGGAGCAGAAGAAAGACCATACCTATCTACAGAAAATGAAGAATCTTTTGGCATGTCCCAGCTATCAGATGCATATCTTCCTTGCTCACTAAAGTGTGCTCGAGAATCAGTTTGTGGATGATCCATTCTTAGATTTGTTGATTTAGGTGTTTCACACTGGAAAGTACGAGTAGCTGTAGATGACAAAAACTGAGACTTTTGGCTTTCTTTATCTCGAATATGGTTCTCGAGCTCCTGAATTTGCTTCTTCAGTTGTAACCTATCAACAAAAGAAATTAAGATACATTAGAAACTCACCCAAATTCAAGGCATACTCACAGTTGTGACACCCTTAAATTCTCAGACTAAAGAAACAGATGCATTGCCAATTATTTCTTTAAGCCTGATCTCTTTTCGCTGCATTATTTCAAATAAATTTTGCTGGGAAGACAAACCACACCCTCCAAAAGGGAGCAGAATTATTAATCTTATAGAAAAAGGAATTTTAAAGCCAAGAAACGGAAACAAAATTGATTGGGATAAAGACCTCTCTTGCCGAAGCTCTTGAATACGATCAGGACTCAGCTCAGTATCATCGTCAAGGAGTTCATTTGATATTGCGATCAACAAGTTCTTCATTTGTTCCAAATGAGTTGAAGCTTCTGGACAAAGCCCTAGCTGAGAAGATACTAACATCAAACAAAATGAGAAAGCCTGATTACAAATTAGAAAGAGAGAGAAACAGAAGTCATACCTTTATTCCATGACTGCAGTTAGAACATAATTCAGGAGGCAGAACACACTCTTCTTCTCTTCTGGAAGCAGTTCTATCCGCTGGTGAAGTTCTCGATGAAAAACTAGATACAGATGGTTGAGGAGTACTTGTTGATTGGTAGTGTTCCATCATAATTTGGTCGACATCAATATTCTGCATCACAAAGTGTTAACATGCTTGAGTTGACAATGCCCTATACTGCGTAAGCATCTAGGAAAAGATTTTCTCCCAGATCCAAACTAAAACTACAAGGTAAGCAAGTAGTTTTGATCCCTGCTGTCATCGAAATATGATACAATTTAACGAGACTACAAATACGAGACTGATAAAACCAGCTTCTTCACATGGAGTACTAAATAAGGAAAACTATGGGCTACTTTAACCGGTATCATTACCTGAAGTATGTCATCATCAATCTCGTCAAGACATGCTTCTCCAGATCCCAACTGCTCAGCTGCGAATGCAGAATTCTTGAATGGTTTCTCCACACCAGTTAAAGGCGTGCAACTGTTTTCTGGTTCTCTGGTCTCAACATTTATCCGTGGAAACTTTTCAGCAAATATTTTACCATCACCAGGAACAGGGGGAGGAAAGCTGTGAAAGTTTCGTCCAGTTCCTGGTACACCCATTTGACTTTGATTTTGTTGATTGTTATAAAAAGAACCATCAGTGCTACATGTAGCTTTCACAGTGGATCTCTCTCTTGCAGAATATGAGCCATTGGTGCCACCATCATCAACTGGGGGAGTAATTCCAGGTCTTAGGTAGGTCTTATTTAATGAGAGACTTGAAAGAGTACGCCAAGCCTGCCAACATAGGATACAAATAAGTAGCATATATGTACACTTCATGAATAGAAAGTCTATCAGAAAGGGGAAGTTGAATCATAAACTATGGATATTTAAGAGCTACAATGAGATGAACTATTTACTCAAAGAAATGGATATAGAAAAACAAAACATATAATTGCCACCACAATTTCTCTTCAACAATGTTACCTTTGCAATTTGCGGGTGCGCCAAAGTATGCGCATTCACACTAGGAAACGCAATTGACCTACAAAAAGGAAGAACGAACCTTTTTAAAAATTTCTGAATCACTTAGCTGTACACAGATCCAAGCAGCAGACAGTAGTGAGTCAAAGTAAATGACAATCAAGGAACAACGCAGAAGACACAAGGATTTGATTATTCTCAAAAGAATATAGCCATAATACCTTGCCGCCATATCTCCGCTTTTTCTAGGCTTTTGACTATCTAAAGAGTAAAGAAAAGTGGAGCTCAAATGCTTAGTTCTGGTCGATGGATCTTCAAACGCCTTCACATGCTCTGACCAATTGGTTTGAGGACCTTTAGGTTTCTCAACGTCAGGGAGATGACTCCTACTGCAATTTTCAACAGTGAGTAACAGAGAGCAACCAAACAAACAAAAACCATAAATTCTTGGGAAAAAGTGTACAAGGAGAAGATCATATTCTAACCTTACTTGATTTGAATTAATCATAGCTTCTTCTTAACATGCTTGAAGAGGTTCCCAGAGCTTGACAACCACAATTTCGTCACTTGCTGAAGAAACATAGGAAGAAATTGCGTTTTAGATTAGTGAGAGAGCTAATGAATAATCAAACAACAAAACGAAAAGACTACACTTTTATCACATACAGAATTTTATCAAACACGAATCTAATTTACACTAAATCTGCAAACTTTTAGCTAAGAATACTACGCCAAACACAAACCCATAGCTCCAAAGTGATTCACTTTACTAACAAACAACGAAAACCCTAAAAACTAATCAGCAAGTTGTAACAATCCCAGCGAAATTTTAGCGAAATGAAAACCCTAGAATTGAGAATTGAGAAATGATTGCGGGATGAGAGAGCCCAAGGAAATACATTTGGGAAGCAATGGGGGGGTATTTGGTTCTTCTACACCGGCACGGTATCACTCCGATGGAAAGAAGTCGGATAACAAGAAGAGTCGCCACGGCGGCAGAAGTTTATGCGGTTTTGCTAATGGCGGGATAGTTTCCCTCTTTTTGTGTTCCCCAAATAAAAAAAAATGGATAATAAATTATTTTTGAATTTCGAATGTTGTTTTTCAATTCGTATATTTGTGTTTCCGATTTCGGAAATAAATAACGATGGTAAAAATGAGATTAGGAAGGAACAAATAAAAGCTTATTTACGAAAATGTATTTTGATAAAAAAAAATTGTATAAACTAAATAGACCTTTTATTTTAGAGATAACTAGGATTTGAACCCGCACATCCGTGCGGATAATTTTTCATTTTATAAAAATATAACAAAATTTTTCAGATATATCATTTACATTTTATTGTTATATTGTATAACTATATAATCTTATTATTTTAATTATTTTATATAATATATTGTTGTCATTTTTAAAAAATATCAAATATTTTTTTTTTAGATAATGTATTTGTTGTGAATTACAAAAATATATGTCAACATTTTTTGTATAAAAATATTACATGAATTTAAAAGATTTATGTTTTAACAGTGAATAAAAGAAACTTTTAAAATAAAATATTTTTCTTTACCAATTTAATATATTTTTATATTAATTTCACATAGCATTTTATTTTAATATAATATAGAAAATCATTAAATTATAAAATATACCAATTTTTATTTTTAATTAACATTAATATATATATATATATTAATCACGAAATAAAATAATATATATTTTATAAAAATATTGAAATTTCTTGGTAAGATCTTGTTAGATATTTTCTCAACAGATTTTGTTATAAATGAAATTAAATATAACNCGAAATAAAATAATATATATTTTATAAAAATATTGAAATTTCTTGGTAAGATCTTGTTAGATATTTTCTCAACAGATTTTGTTATAAATGAAATTAAATATAACTTTATAGTTATATATTATTAAAATATTTCTTCAGTAATCTATATTTGGTTGATTAATATAAATAATCAAATATGTTATATTAATGAAATGGTCCAATATGACTTTTTGTAGTAGATATAAATGGTACTTCTCTTTTAATATAGAAGATTGGCTAAAGTGCCCTATTTGGCACCTATAATTAGAGACTTACCTATGATGTGACAATCACTTTCCTTTGAACCATTTTGCCCTTTTCTACACTCTCTCTCCTCTATTTGACATCTCCTCCTTTTTTTTCTCTTCAATCCCTAATTATTTTACAAATCTCTATCATTCTATATACAATTAAATTTTAAATTTCATTATTTTTTCATAAGTGGCTTTGAATCCTAAATTTTTTGACCTTTTTTTTCTCTTCAATCCTTAATTATTTTACAAATCTCTATCATTCTATATACAATTAAATTTTCAATTTCATTATTTTTTTCATAAGTGGCTTTGAATCCTCAATTTTTTGATGATATCATTTTCTGGATTTTAGATTCGACGTCGTGTTAGCGGTTAACAAATATTGTAGATGTTAACAGAAGTGTTAGTTGTTAACAATTATTTTTACGCTTCGCGTTAATAAATGTGTTCGCTGTTAACAAATATTGTAGACGCTAACAAAAGTGTTAACTGTTAACAATTATTTTTACGTTTCGCGTAATAAATGTGTTGGCTGTTAACATATATTATAGACGTTAACAAAAGTGTTATATGTTAACAAATGTTTTTACGTTTCGTATTAATGAGAGGAAAGAGAAAGGGCATTCTCGGCATTTCCTTGCCAAATGGTTGTGTCAGTGTCCTTTATGTACAATCAATGGTATTTTGCTAATTTAAACTTCAAATATGGATAGTTCACTAAATCACTCTTTATTTTATAAAAAATCAAATTGACGACAAAAAAACTAAATAGACCTTCCTCCAACAAATCAAAATATAATAATTTATAAAATATTTAAATTCAACACACAAAAAAAGTAACTGAGACTTTTAGAGCATCATTATCTCTAAGGGATGCTTAATTTTTTTTTTTTAAAGTTTTTCTTGTAAAAAAAAAAATTTAATAAATGAACCAATTGCGGGCCGCCATATCAGTGAAGTCCGCAAATAGTGCAAGCACCATTATCGTGAAATCCGAAAAAGGGTGCTTAAAAAAAAAAATTATTTTGCTTTTTGTTTTTCTGTATAAAAAAAAATTAAAAAACAATCAATCGCGGGCTGCCACATGTCAGTGAGGTCCGTGAAATAGTGCAAGCACTACAAAAACACGGCGCTTGAATTGGATACAAAAGCTTCAACGCTTGAGTTTTTTGTGGGACAAGAGGCATTAAGCACCCTTGACCCACAGCGATGCATGTGGTCTTATAGTTTGAATTTGAGAGCTATTTGAATGCTTTGCTCTCTAAACATATGAAGTTACATTGGTGCCCCTACATTTGTTTTATTCAATAGATTTAATTAGGTTGTTTGTTTCTCGAGATAACTTTCAATCTTATCTAACATATCTAGATTATCGGTTCTTTGAGCACCAGGTAACTTTAGCTTGTTACCCTTGTGCTCTGTCTTTGATTATGATTAGTTTACAGCTTCAAATTATATGTTACTAGGGTGTTTCTCCGCGCTACGCGCGGATATGTGGTTAATTTTATTTTATTTTATGATCATTTTTTGGTAATTTTTTCTATTTATATCATTGTAATTTTTTAAAATTATTTAAATTTGGTGATTATGAAGTGTACCAAACTCTGAATAAGAAAATGAATTAGCTTAAATGTTCGTAAATAAAGTACGAAAGATATATGTGTTTTGCAGAAAAGGAGTTAAATATATCGTGTTCTGAAACCTATGAAAGCAATACCCTCAAACTAATTAAAATGAAGTTAGTGAACTCAAGTTAAGCAGTATCTATATACCTTAATTTATATCCAAAAAAAATATACGTGTCATAGTTGTGTTGCGATTATGTGTAAGCCAATCTCTATGTGATTGTAATTTCCCCTTGGCATTGTAAATGTGTTGATTATATTTATTTTGAGAAATTTTATTTTCGTTAAGTGATAGGGAGTTGTCAAAATTTAATTTAAATACCTTTGGGGTGCGGAAGACATTGGAATATTTCTTTGTAGAATATGTTCTTCAACTTTAGCTTATGTGAATCCTTAAGGTTCGAAACTTCAAGCCATCAAGGATTTAGTAGAAAATTATGGATACCCAACTTCAGATAAAAACATAATTCAGGTGTAGTATTTTTTACATAATTATTTTCTTAAGAAATATGGAAACCAAATTTATTATTTGCTTCAAAAATATGGTGTTAGAGTATAAAGACTTGAAGGTTTGTGGCGTGATCGAATTGGGGGTCGTCTTTTCGTCTGATGCGTGTGTCCGACTGGGATGTTGAAAAGGGCAAATCATATTATGGGTTATTTTCTTAGGCCGCAAGAAAAATTTGAATAGTTAACTATGCCTTGTCGTCTTAATGAATCCTCTGATGTAATCTGTAATATTAAGGTGATATGTATAAATATATTTAGTATTGGTGTAATCGTCTTATGATAGTTAACTATATATATATATATATATATATAGATAAAATTATATGTAGTTTTGGTGTAGTCGTTTTATGTATGTGGGTTAATGAGACATGTTTTTTCAAATATAGTAGCCGTTATACAAAATCGAATAAACATTTGCCTCATATTAACCAGTTTATGGTATGATATGATTCAACACATATTTTTAAACCATATATATATATATATATATATATATATATATATATCTTTAGTTAGTATCCTTTTTTCAAAAGTTTTATAGCACAAGTTTTGGTGTTATATTAATTTCTAATTTTGATCTTGGAACTTTTATATAATTGTTATTATTAGTTAGTATCCTTTTGTTAAAAGTTCTATAGCTACAAGTTTTGGTGTTATATTAAAATTATTTTAAATGCCCAAGGCTAGCCTATATAGCCGTAAGAATGCTCTTATCTCAATCAAGGAAGAAGTTACGTTTAATACTGTGGGATATGAAAAAGGCTGACTCCTGACCCCTATATATTTGTGTACCAATTAGTCGCATGGGCAATTCCTGTAGCTATGATTCGAGATTGCATCTATACATAGACATAGACAAAGAAAACGTGTGCTTTTATAAACCTGTCGTCTCTGTTTCTCTTAACAAACCAAAACTTGTGTAACACAACCTGAATCAAGAATTAACTAAGAGAACAAACGAAAACTAAGAAAAACAAAATATGTAACACTATAACCGATCGAACCACCATGGAAAAAGAGTTAAGTAGATGTAAACAGAACCAAAAAAGATTTTAACCAAGGTTTTCTGAAACTTGCAAAGATAAAATCCAGGGAAAGAAAGGAAACAAAGCAGAGTCTTTAGTAAGCAAAAACAGTATTAAAATGTTAGCCACTTTTTGCACGCTTGGTTACTCCTGTTACAATCTCATCAGAATTCCTCTTCAACGACTCATCAGCACGATCCTCTTTATCATTGACAGGCCCCTGCTGTATGTTTTCTCCTATGTTGGCATCAGCCTCTTGGTCTTCAAGAGGTAACACCTTTGTAACAGTGAAAGTCTGGATCCTGCCAGTGAAATTGTGTTTGGAAACCTTGACAATGAACTTCCTTGTCTGCCCTACGGTATCAATCAAAGCTTGAGGCATCGGAACAATGTGATCAGCGCCTACACTTTCATTGGCCTAAGAGCCATTTAACAATTCCCAGAATTAATTTCCAATTTTCTTGTAAGAATAGCATACGTAAAGAGCTTACAAATTACCTCGTAATAGCTCTCTACCAACTCAGACGCTTTCTTTCCAGTCAACTCCTGACCAGCATCACCAAGGAGAACAAAGACGGCTTGGTCTTTCTTGTCATACACGGAGATCTTCGACAGGTACCTGCGAGACCAAGCCCAAGACATTAATAAGCATTGATGTCAAACTTCGCATATAATTTCATTAAATCACTCACTGTGCCACTCCAACAATTTCACTCTCCCCACATTTTGTACACATTAGCGTTGTAGGCCCTTTGATTGCCTTTGTATGGCAAACACCACAGCCTATATAATACCACCCAGACCCGTGCACAACATCATCAATAGTTGCTGTGCACTCAAACCAAGCAACCTGGAAAATGGTTGAAATTCACTGAGAAACTTGGACTATATGACTGATTCTATCAGAAAATGGAACTGGAATACCTTAGCATCGCCCTGTTTCGTATAGGACACAAGTTCTTCTACGGTAACCGTCTCAGCCTTAGTAACCACCTCTGCATTAACTCTGTTTGCTACATCTAAGTTTGAGTTGAACCTAAGAAAATGGGAAACAAAACATTTGAACAATATATTACCTCAAATGATATTTAAATACTTGAAATCTTAAGCCTTACCAACTGAGATAGTAGCGAGTTTCTTCAACATCAGTGTCCATGAAGACCCGAGAAGGCGTCAAAGTACATAGTGATAAGGCGCCTATTACGTAACCAATGTCGTAATATTTATCGAATTTAAATTAATTTGGAATGAAGAAAATATGTAGGAAAGTATACTAAATTTCATATTACGAACCTCTGAACCGTTTTGGGTTTAAGGCAGTGACCAAAATAACACTTGCAGTTTTTCCAGATGCTTTGAACTTTGCACTGAAGTCAAAGGCAGCCTTGTCCCAAAGGTAAAGCTTCATCACCGGACCACTGTAACAACAACAAAAAAAGGCTCTAAACAGAAACCATATAAGAGTACGGAAGAAGGTAGACAATAGCTCACTCATGTGTCTGAACGTGAAGCAGAACATGGCGGGTTGAAGCTATCTCAGCTTCATCAAGGAGGACACTGTCATTGAGAACCTGTCCATTAATAAGTTTGATGTGGCCTACATAATCTGGAAGACAAAACAATCAAACTCAGTACTTTATAACATATAAACGAAACAGTGAAACCTAAATATCTTACTGTGGATCCAAACATGATCATACACAACATTTCTTACTATACTTAATATAGAGTCTACATTAAACCATCTTCCCACACAAACAAAAAGAGAGGATACAACGTTTGTGAGAATTTACCATATAGATCTCCTTTCAAGCCGCAAGCAGCCTCAAATTCTTCGTACCCATGGAACCGGAACCGGTCCTCAGGGAATGGAACCGAGCTGTCCTCTAGAACAGAGAGAACAGAATTCCATGAGAATGTAATAGTCACATCTGGTTCAGCAACCCGGTACAAACCCTTGTTCTTCGACCCAAAAAAATTAATCAGTTTGTAAATAGCACCAGCTTTCAAGCGTGGCAAATAAGCCTGAATCCGTCCTTCTGGGATAAACCCCTGGATCACAGTTCCCTGTTAACAACGTTAAAGAGTTTTATTAAATAAGATGGAAAAAAGATTAGCATAGGAACATAAATAAATAAGATATTTACCACCAACTAAGATTTACAAAACTCTCGTTATGGTGCTAACAACAATGGCTAACATCATGCAAAGCAAACCATAAATAGGGATCAAAGCTCTAGTACAATAAACACATCATTCAGCTAAGATCACCGCAGGCATAAACGATGAACCTTTCGACTGAGAGAAAATCAACACTATTTCAGGAAACAAAGTAACTAAGATATTTAAAAAAATTCCTCAAACGAACTTATAAAATTAGAAGCTGATGAGCATGAAAATCGAGATAGGAAAAAAAATAATCTTAAAAGAACAAACTTTAGTAACGATCTAGATTTATACCTCTGAGTCGATGAGGAGCATTTCGAGACCCAGCAGCACCTTCGACAGAACTTTCCGAGCCTCCCAATAGTGAATCAAACGAAACCGCACCTCGCTTTCATGGGGTCCGAGGCTGACTTTTCTGAAAGACATCACTTCATCACCGTTTTCGGAGACAACGGCTCTCCCTCTGCTACCGGAGGAGGCAACAGCTTTCCCCTTAACGCCTATGGAGAGACCGGAAGACACACCCGTTTCCCCGATGAGTTTCATCGACGCTTCGCCTTTTGCTTTCTTCGAGTTCGAATCACCAGATAACGCCAATTGGTCAGGTGAGCTCATCGCCATAGATTAATTAGGAGAAATAAAAAAATTTTGTTTAGGGTAAGAACCGGAAGAAGAGATTTATAAAGAAGCTGAGTAGGAGGAAAACGTAAAGAATCCATTAATTAGATCGAAGGGAGAAAATAATTGGAGGGTGTATTGATTGATAGTAGATGAGATTGATGAAACGGGATCGAAGAAGATGAACAGGTAAGGTTTACTAATCGACGTAAGGGGGAAGGGGGCTATCGCGGAAGACAAACCTAAACTTGAGGAGTGTATGTATTGGGCTAAGTGGGCTGCGCTTATTGAAAAACGGGTTAAGCCAAAAAATTGAGCCCACTTTCGGAAATTGATAAATGACGTGGAGGAATGAAATATTCTTATTGGTTAAATATAATAACACACGTGGACAGCTTCCCAAGGCTGCATATTGCCCTTTTAATACATGTTTGATGTTTGATACTAAATGTCTACGTTCCTGATTGTTTCACAAAATATATCCACAATTCATCTCTTCAAGATATTTGTTCAAGCTTTATAAGCCCTATAAGGGTTTATTTCGTTTCGCAGATCCATTGGTTCTCCATCTTTAAGTCGTTCATAATGGTTATTTTTTCTCACTGGTTTGGTCTCAGTGATATTGATGAGGACCCTCAGAAATGATTATGCGAAGTATGCTCGTGAAGATGATGATCTCGAGAGTTTGGTAATGTTTCCTCAAACTTTTATGTGTCACATAGCTGCACAATTGTTTTAGCTATTACTACTCTCTTGGCAGTTTATCTAGAACTTGTTCTTTATTTTTGAGGCTGTAAAACCATTCTTGACTAAAAAATATCTTCCTCTGAATATTTTGTAGGAGCTGTTGGATTCTTGGGATCAAATCTGTTTGTAAGGAGAATCTACAGAAACATAAAGTACGACTAGATTAATTATCGAAAAAGAGGATTGAAACATCCAGTTCAGAAGGGAGCTTCTTATGGGGGGCTATATAATATGTAAACACAGTAGAGAGGGACGAAGTTGGAGCATATACATAACATTCTTCAGTGTGGGTTTTGTCTCTTTTCTTGGTATTGACTCCCTTTTTGGTAAGTGAACTATTCTCTTTAGATTAGGCTGGTTAGCATTGAGTGGATGTAATATACAATTACTACCTGAGTTTAGTTCACTTCACGTCAGTTGGATCATTGAATGTCATCTAGGAACAATTGGATATAACCAAGTTTTTTTTTTTTATTTGATTGCTTGCTACCTTTTAATTCTATCCGAGAATAAGATAGTATACATCCAAGAAATTGTGTGGTCATGTAGAGAGGACAATTGCGTTGGTAGAGTTTAAAGATTCCATAGTAATCATGTGTTGGGGAAATGTTGAATATCATGCATATGGGGTAAAGATTAATTTGTTTCACAGGGTGACTTTATTGGTTGTCAGTGAAGCCCGTGTGATTTGAATAATATTAACATTACGAGAAGTACATGCATAGGACCACTCTTAAAACTTGGTGGGACTCTGTGACCAAAAAGAAAAGAAACAAACACGTTCAGAACCACATGCATATGTTCAGTCTGAAAACTTGGTGGACCTTCGACCAAAAAAAAAAAAGCACCCAAACAAGTCCAGAATCATCCCAAGTCCCATATTGACTTGTTTCAAGTCTATCCACATATTATCAGTCACCAACAAAATAGTGCACTCATGCGAAAACAAACAGGGAGACAAATCCACCAAGGGAGATCACACAAGAACCCACATATCATACGCCACGTGGCAGATAATGTCTCCAAATCTCACCTCTTTATAATCCTCTCTACCTCGCCATTTCTACACAGCTACACACTCTAACAAACCAGAAGACTAAGAGTATCTTTGTTACAACAATGGCTTCCACTGCTCTCTCCAGCACCATAGTAAACACCTCCTTCCTCCGCCGCCAACAGACACCACTCAGCCTCAGATCTCTCCCTCTAGCCAACACACATTCCCTCTTCGGCCTCAAATCCTCCACATCACGCGGCGGACGCGTCACAGCCATGGCTACCTACAAAGTCAAGTTCATCACACCTGAAGGCGAGCAAGAAGTGGAGTGTGAAGACGACGTCTACGTCCTCGACGCAGCGGAGGAAGCAGGTATCGATCTCCCCTACTCATGCCGTGCTGGATCTTGCTCAAGTTGCGCAGGGAAAGTCGTCTCTGGGACCATTGACCAGACGGACCAGAGCTTCTTAGATGATGAACAGATGAGCGAAGGGTATGTCCTCACATGTGTGGCTTATCCGACTTCTGATGTCGTCATTGAAACACACAAAGAAGAAGCCATTGTTTAATAAATTTCTAAACCATCTTTAAAAAGCTTATGGATGGGGTATAATAAAAGTGAAGAGAAACGTGATGTATAAGTCATCTATGTCTTGTTACTATGCTAATTTAGCTCAACCATTTGTATAAGATCAATTGATCACATATTTCAGTATAATTCCTCCTTTTTTATTTTGGTTGTTTTTGTTTACATCCAATGTCAACTTTCCATGCATCATGTTCCTAAATCTTTATATCATATTATATGAAAAAAATAAAAGAAGTAGATCATGGGATAATTTTGTTTTTGTATTATACAGAAGATAGTATGTGTAGTGTAATCTAGTAGCTAAGCAATTGTGGACATGATGACTAAGGAATGAAGAGGGAATAGGTTTTTAAAATTTTTACCATAAAGAGGAATGAACAATATTGTTAATAGTCATTTTTCGTCATCCCTAAAATTTTGGACTTTATTCTTTTAAAATTTTTTTTCTAATGTTCATTAGGATGGTTACTTGTGAAACATTAAGTCTACATCTAAGTAATAAGCTTGACAAAATCAAATAACTATTTAAGCTATTTAGAGCACCATTAACTCAAAATTCCAATTAGGGATGGTTTTTTTTTATTGTCTAATTAAACAGAAAAAATTAAAAATAGATCAATCGCAAACCATCACGTGTTAGTAAACCTGCACAGTGCAAACACTAGTGCTTAAATAGGCTACAGAAGCAGTAGTTCTTAAAAGTTTTGTGCTTAACATTTTTTTGTTAAACACTTCCCTCTAAGCACTTGAGTAATGGTGCTCTTAGAGCATGTACATTCATGAACCTGTACTGAGGTTCACAAAAATATCTTTTTATTATTATTTTCTTTTATTTTTTTCTGTTTGACTTAAAAAAAAAAAATTAGTGGACTTATCGTGGACCGCCACGTGACGTGGGGTTCACGTAATAGTGTTGATATCGGTTCACGGCAGATAACTCATGTGAGCTGAGTTCACAACTTTTCTATTATTTTAATTTTTTTTTTTTTGGGAAAGTGTATGATACCCACATGCACTTGCTCGTATGCGTAGACTAAAACTAAGGTTCATCTGCTTTCAACAATGGGGTGGTGGCGCAGTTGGCTAGCGCGTAGGTCTCATAGCTACTGAGTAATCCTGAGGTCGAGAGTTCGAGCCTCTCTCACCCCATACACATTTTTTTCCCACCTCTTGTCTGTCGCATTGTTGACCTTTTTTCCTCAGTTTTGGCTCTTTCCAATTCAGTAATCTTCTTCTTACATCCTCCCACGATCTTTCTAAAATCAGAATTGGGAAACCCTAATTACTTCCCTTCTTTTCAATTCGTTTCTATCTCACAATTCAATCTCAGATTTGATCAAATGACTCACGGTGAAGTACAATTGCAACCACCAGATTCACAAAAGCTAAGCGACTCCGCTCCCTTACTAGGAACCTCTCCATCATCTTCATCCTCTTCGCCTCCCTCTGCGTCCGATCACGAGATAAACGCCGAAGAAGAAGATCTAGAGAGCGGCGGTTCATCTCCGTGCTGTCGTATCTGTCTAGAGAACGATAGCGATTCGCTAGGAGACGAATTGATATCGCCGTGTAAGTGCAAAGGCACACAGCAATTGGTGCATCGCTCGTGTCTCGATCATTGGCGATCGGTTAAGGAAGGGTTCGCCTTCTCTCATTGCACTACTTGCAAAGCTCAGTTTCATCTCCGTGTTGAGCCTTTTGAGGATAACAACACGTGGCGGAGGAAAGCGAAGTTCAGATTGTTTGTTGCTAGGGATGTGCTTTTGGTATTTGTAGCTGTGCAGACTGTGAGTACCTCTCTCTCTCTCTCTCTTTGGTTTGTTATTATAACTACTTTGAGGTTGGAGAAAGTGTGTGATAAGATATCTTGATTGGGTGCGATCATACCAGCACTAATCCACCGGATCCCATCAGAACTCCGCAGTTAAGCGTGTTTGGGCGAGAGTAGTACTTAGGATGGGTGATCTCCCGGAAGTCCTCCTGTTTCATTTTTTTAAGTGTTTGGAAAAAAAAATGTTTTCAAAAAAAAAAATCTTGATGATTGGTTTTGGTTTCCTCAATGGTTGTTGTTATTATAACTGCTTGAGGCTGAGAAAGTATGTGATAAGAGATCTTGATTATCATTTTTGTCTCTTATCATAACTGTTAAAATCTAGATTTGAATCTTGACATGTTTGACAATGGAAGTTGAGATTGTTCATTCTTGTCACTCTGATTGGTTTTGGTTTCCTCCATGGCTCTTATTATAACTGTTTGAGGTTGGAGAAAGTGTGTGATAAGAGATCTTGATGATCATTTTGTCTCTTATCATAACTGTTACAATTTGAGATTTGACATGTTTGACAATGGAAGTTGAGATTGTTCATTCTTGTCAGGCTGATTGGTTTTGGTTTACTCTATGGCTCTTATTATAACTGCTTGAGGTTGAGAAAGTATGTGATAAGAGATCTTGATTATCATTTCTCTCTTGTTATAAGATTTATAACTGTTACAGACTAGATTCGAATATTAACATGTTGACTATGGAACTTGACGACAATCAGATTGTTCATTCTTCTCATTTGTTTTGGTTTTGGTTTCGGTTTCGGTTTCCTCAATGGTTGTTATTATAACTGCAGTTTCTTCTTGAGTGTGATAGAGTATGTAATAAGAGATCTTGATGATCATTTGTCTCTTTGTCATAACTGTTATTTTGGTAACTAAGTGAGTCTAGATTCGAGGCTTGACGTGTTGACTATGGAACTTGGTGATAATCAGATTCTTCGCACTGTGATTGGTTTTGATTTTATTGACTTGCTATTGTTGAGGCCAGCTTGTCTGAGACTCTGAAACGTTTTGACATTATAGTTATTACATCTGCATGTAATAAGAGATCTTGATGATCATTTGTCTCTTGTCATAACTTTTGTTTGGTAACTAAGTGAATCCAGATTCCAATCTTGACAATCAGATTGCTCATTCTAGTCACTGTGATTGGTTTTGATTTTCATGACTTGCCATTGTTGAAGCCTGTTTTCCATATAGCTTATCTGAGTTGACACTCACTCTGGAAACGTTTGAAATTATAGGTTATTGCTGTGATGGCTGGATTTGCATACGTGATGGATAAAGACGGAGAGTTTCGCAACTCTTTCAACGATGATTGGGATCGTATTCTGTCCAAACATCCCATCCCCTTCTACTACTGCATCGGTAACCACATCTCCTTTTTACTTGTCATAACCAAATACAGCAAGGCACGCTTTTAAACATTTGGTGTATCATGAATCTTTAGGGGTTGTAACCTTCTTTGTACTGATTGGCTTTCTCGGACTCATTCTACATTGCTCTTCTCTCAACGGTAATGATCCGAGGATGGATGGGTGTCAGAACTGCTGTTACGGATGGGGAATCTTGGACTGTTTCCCTGCATCAATGGAAGCTTGTTTCGCTCTTGTGATTGTCTTTGTTGTTGTCTTCGCTATCCTTGGTTTAGCGTATGGTTTTCTTGCTGCGACTATGGCTATTCAAAGGATATGGCAGAGACATTACCATATTCTCACTAAAAGAGAGCTCACAAAGGAGTACATTGTGGAGGATCTTCACGGGTGTTACACTCCCCCGAAGCTGGATGCAGAGCATGAAGCAAGACTGAAGATGCTGAAACTTATGTGACCGTTCTTGAATTGCAAATAAAAGGTTATATAATATGGAGTTTCTGGCACAAGGACATCTTTGTGCAAGGAGAGAAAGTCTTTCTTTTCTTTATAAGTACCTAATGAATGAATACATTGTCCTTTTTCTTTTATAGATATGAGATGAAGCAGCCCTACTGCTTTAGTAGTGAATACAAAAAAAAATATTGAGATCCAAAGCTACAAGCAGAGCTTATCAACGTTGTTCATGTTTCATGAATCTTTAGCTGATGTTTTTTCTGTCTTTCAAGAAGCTCAAAAGAGAAGGTATTAGTGTACATTTGAGTTTCAGTTTCTGTTGAAAAATGGAAGTAATGAGCTAACAACAAATAACATCTATTAAGTGAAGTACGAGACGCTTATTACAGATTCAATTTAGAAAACTCAAAAAAAGGAAATATCTTAAAGTAAAAAAAAAGTCGACCACAGTGGGAGTCGAACCCACGACCTTCTGATCCGAAGTCAGACGCGCTAATCCACTGCGCTATGCGGTCTTTGAATATTCTATAGCATAGCGTTTTATATATAAAACATGAAATTCATAGCTGCAGTGCAGATTAGGCTCATTTGCTTGAAAATAAACTAAAAGAACAATGGGCTATCATTCACAGCAAGATTTATATAAAAAGTTACAGCCTGAAGTATCAACAAGTTACAACTTTAAAGCCTCAACTTGTGAAACCTATATACAAACAAGCATACACATAAAAGACATGAAGTGAATGAAACGGACCCCATAATCACCAACCATTATTTATGCCCAAGAACAATCTTTCAAAACCTCATAGGCCATAGATCTATGTTCTTCGCTCAACTCTTTAGGGAAACTCACTAAAAACGTTATTATCAAATCCCCACGTTTACCATCATCTTCTTTACCATTTGGCAAACCTTGACCTTTAATCACCTTCTCAAATCCATGAAAGATCACTTCTCCCACAGATATTGACATTGACTCACCAGTCAGTAGCGGCACAGAGAGTTTACACCCCGTTAAAGCCTTGAGAAGAGGTATCTCGACCGCAATCTCTAAGTCATCTCCACGGCTTTTAAACAAAGGGTGTCTCTTCTCTTCAACCACGAATATGATGTCTTCAGGGAGGTAGCCAGGTTTCTCGTTCCCTACTCCTTCAAATGTTATCTTGGTCCCTTTCTTCCATCCTGGTTCGATGTTCACTCTTAACGTCTCTTCTTGTTTCACAATCAATCTGTTAATAATGCAACATAATGAATAACTCGTTTATGTAATAG